GGGGGGGGGGGGGGCGGGGGGGGGGGGGGGGGGGGGGGGGGGGGGGGGGGGGGGGGGGGGGGGGGACGACGGGCGATTTCGCCCCTCCCCTTATTCTTCAGCGGTACTGGTAGCAGTTGTTTTACTATAGAAAACTCTGGTCGATATCCCATGAATTCGCCTATGGCTGGAGCTGCATTGCTATATATAGGCTGATGTTCGTTTTGCTGTTTTTGCATTTTGAAGAGAAATATCCCCACCGCTATATCTTTCCTGGTAAAATTCTGTCATGCTATTACTGTGGCTTTAGTTATTCTGTTACTTTGATTAGCTTTACTGAATAACGTGACTCTCCAGCTTTTTTAGCTCCCTTGACCATTGCTACATCGCTTGCTGGTCAGCCTGTTGGCGATCCTGACGTTCGGTTTATTTTCTGAAACAATTATTTTCTGAAACAACAGCTTTCCTGGTGCTCTTGGCAGTGTAGCATTTCACGAAGAATTAGTTGTTTTGAGATGTTACTGACGTTGTTGGACATTTCTACGTTATCTTGAACTTTTCTTACCCTAGGCTACAATGAAGAGATAACTTGTCGAGGAGAACTTCTATAAATTTGTGAGGTATAAAGGAATCGTTGAAGATTTAAGTGGTAAGTGCAGTCATTTCCCAGTCTCACTTTTAGAAGCGCCAGCATTTCTATTAATGGAGCACAACAAAAACGCATATTGTGAAGAGTTCATCCGTATGTGTGTGTATTCGGAAGCGAGTGAACTTTGTCACTCACTTTTAACTTAGCAACCAGGGAAGTTGGAAGGCTGAAATTTTGGGAGCTTATTTCTACCCTATGTGTCACCCTCCTTTTTTAAGATCTTCCCTCGTACGCGCCTAGAGCTAGCCTACGGACACCCTTAAAAAAAATGCAAATTTCCTACCAGTACAACGAAAAAGAAGAGACCAAAAGGTTAAAGCTGCACAAAGGTTGAGCAAAAACGCATACTCCCATCGACTAGCTTGGTGCGTTTCAGCGCGGGTTATTATTTCTCTGTTATTATCAGTTTTTCATTATCATTTGTTCATGGGATTTTGGATGCGTACGATTCTGTAAGGAACGATGTCACCTAAAAAATTGTTTAACTGATACAACACAGAAATGTCACATCGATAACTGTTTTGTAGTTGTTCTTTCAGAGAAACAGCTGGAATTACCAGCCCAGAAAGTACTCTATGTAAATGAGAAAGTAGAAGAGCAGAAGCTGGGAGCGAACGATGTGGCAGCGTCACCCGAAATTAACGGTGCAGCAGCAGCCGGTGATGCGAACATGATGAACGGTATTGCTGTGCCGCAAACCTTCTCCAGTACAGATTCTTCCTACGACACCTCCTACATCGACCAGCATTTCAACAAAGCCTACATGGATGGCGATTATAGCTTTGTTAGTACTACTTCTTTGCGATTAATAACGATCTGAAATTATCGACAACCCAACGACGTAGTTGCCGATCACATGTATCGATATGTGTTCGGCTTTTTGTTCTCTCTTTTTCCTTTTTTCCTTTTTTTTTTCTCTGCTTCTTTTCCCACCTTTCTTTCTCTCTTCCATTTCTTCCTCTTTCCTCCCTCTTATATTTCCTCCTTCCCTTCTTATCCCTGAACACCACGACCGTCATACTGACGAGGTCCAGTCGTGGTGTTGAGCTAAGACGTATATG